CTGGAGAAGAGTATTGAGAATACCATGGACTGCTAAGAAAACAAACAGAATTGTCCTGGAAAGGGTTAAACCGGGTGGCTCCTTGTAGGCAAGGATTCAGAGGCTCCATCTAACATACTTTGGACATGTTGTGAAGAGAGACCGGTTCTTGGAGAGGGACATGATGCTTGGGAGGGTGGAGGGACAGCGCAGGAGAGGAAGGCCCTGTATGAGGTGGATTGATTCAGTGACTGGGATAATTGGGATGGGAGTGTCAGGGACAGTGCGATTGGCACAGGACAGAGTGGAGTTTAGGGCTGTTGTACATAGGGTCACTATGAGTCGCAAGCAACTCGACGGCATGTAACAACAACATATATGCAAATATTTTAATTTTGTTTTATAATCAATATAAAAATATTGAGGTACTGTACATTACTTTGTGTCTTTTTTTTTCTTTTTTTTCATATCTTTAAGAATGTCATTGATTTTTACATTTATATTGCATCTATTCAGCTATAATTTAGGTGCTTTCTGAACAGTAATTGAAAATTTAGTGAACAACTGAGATTTGCTTGCCAACATTTCTACTAGCTAGTGATTGTCTATATCCACAAGGATACCTTCCTTCTTACTTTTTCTTTCTATTTTAGTATTTTTGTCATTTGATTTGATAATTTACAAATAATAACTGCTTTTAAAATTATTAAATGCATTTTGTTTTATATTAGTTATTGTTGATTAGTGTAGTTCATTACCATTATCAACCTACCTTCTACTTTATTTTATCTTTCCTTACACCCAGTTTATCCATTTACTTTTTTACTCCTCTCTCCCTACCTTCACATAATTGATAAACTACTCAAGAATATTTTGTTACTTTTCTAGTTGTTGTTAGGTGCTGTTGAGTATGACTCATAGTGACCCTATGAACAAAAGAGCTAACAGCTCTTCTATCCTGTGCCGTCTTCACACTTTACACATTAGAGCCCATTCCAGCAGTTGCCATGACCGTGTCAGTCCACCTAGTTGAGGGTCTTCCTCTCCTTCACCAGTGCTACACTCTTCCCAGTGTCATGTCCTTCTCCAAGGAATAGCCCCTCCTAACAACATGCCTAACTTATTTAAGGTGATGTCTCATCATTCTTGTCTCCAAAGAACACTGCAGCTGCACCCTCTCCAAGGTTATTCTCTTGGTTCAGTGCTTTTCTCTAACACCGCAGCTGAAAGGCGTCAATTCTTTTTCTGTCATCCTTATTCACTGTCCAGCTCTCAGATGCGTAGCAATTAATATAAAAGATTATGGCCTGAATCAGATGCACCTTCATCCTCAAACTGACGTCATTTCTCTTCAATTATTTGGAGAGGTCCTTAACTGCAGATTTTCCCAGTACAATGCATCTCCTTATTTCCTTACTGCTGATTTCAAAGATGTTAATTGTTGATCTAAGCAAGATGAAACTGTTGAGAGTTTCAGTCTCCTTTCCTGTTAGGGACCTCTCCAAAGTACTGAAGAGCAATGGTGTCTCTCTAGAGACTAAGGTGAGTCTGATACAGGCCATGGTCTTTGTGATCACCTGTTAATGCATCAGAGATTGAACAGTGACTAAGGAGGATATAAGGAGAATTGATGCCTTTGAGCTGTGGTGCTGGAGGAGAGTATTGAGGTTACTGTGGACTGCTAGGAAAACAGATTCATCCTGGAAAGGGTTAAACCAGGCGGCTCCTTGGACCAGGGAAGGATTCTAAGGCTCCGTCTAACATACTTTGGACATGTTGTAAGGAGGGACTGGTCCTTGGAGAGGGACATCGTGCTTGGGAGGGTGGAGTGACAGCCCAGAACGGGAAGGCCCTCTATGAGGTGCATTGATTCCGTGACTGGGGTAATTGAGATGGGAATGTCAGAGACAGTGCGATTGGCACAGGGCAGAGCAGAGTTTAGGGCTGTTGTACATAGGGTTCCTATGAGTCAGAAGCGACTCGACGGCACATAACAACTCCATCCATCATGTTTTTGTCTGTCATTCCAGTGATAAAAATCTTTGTTTTCTTGATAACGAGGTGCAGTCCATACTGAAGGCTGCATTCCTTGATAGTATGCAACAACAAGTGCTTCAAGTCCTCCTTACTTGGAGCAAACAAGGTTTTATCATCTGCATAATACAGGTTATTGATGAGTCTCTAACCAATCCTGTTGCCACACTCCTCAGTAGAGTCCAGCTTCTTCGATAATTTGCTCAGCATACAGATTGAATAGGTAAGTAGATAGAGTAATTCTGGTCTTATCCTTTAAAAGTCCCTTGATGACTGAGATTGGCCACTCAGCATAATTTTTTTCTAAATTTGTCTATGGTAATGCAGTGTTTTTTGAATTCTTAATTGTTTTATTTTGTTGTTGTCATGTGACATTGAGTTGGGATCAACTCATAGGTGATCCTCCAGTGAGATTGTCAGAGACTTTAAACCATAGGGGAGTAGATTTCTCTTTCTCCTGAAGAGCAGCTGGTAGATTCTAACTGCATGTCTTTACGTGGCACAATTCATTACCCAGTAGGTCACCAGTGTGAGCTACATTGTGTGAATATACCGTAGTTTCTTTGACCTTTTATGTTGATACATGGGTTGTTTTCATCTCTTTGCTATTGTAAATAATGCTGCTATCAATAAGGTAAAGTTCTGCAATAAGCATTAGTATGTATATACTTAAGAATAGTCGATGCCTTTGAATTGTGATGGTGCTAATTGACGGTATCATTACTTAAAAGATGATGACTTTTCAATTTACGTACCTTGACATGTTTTTAGGAGGAGCTCTTATTTTTGTTAGGTGCTGTTGAGTTCAGTTCAACTTTCAGCAACCTCATGATCGATCATCAGATCTCACCCCTGCCCTATCCTGTGCTTTCCTCACAGTCTCCAGTACGCTTCAGAGCATTGCTTCAGTCACTGTGTTATTCCATCCTCTTGAGGATTGTCCTCTCTTTTGCTATCCCTCCACCTTTCATAGCAAGATGTTCCTCTCTAAGGAATAGTCTCTTTTAGCTACATTCCCAAATTATGTGAGACTTTGTCATCTTTATCTCCGAGGAGCACTCTGGCTATACCTTCTCCAAAACATATTTATTCTTTTGGCAGTCCATGGAGGATATTTGGTATTCTTCTCCAACACCATAGTTAATAGGCATCTTCTGTCATTCTTATTTATTATTTAGCTCTCATATGCATAGCCTGAAAAGACCATGGCCTGAATCAGGCACAGCTTAGTCCTCAAATTGATGTCTTTGTGCCTCAATAATTTGGAAAGGTCTCTGACTACACACTTTCCTAGTCCATTATAACTGATGATCTCCTTACTGTCGGTACCAAGTGTATTGATTGTGTATGCAATTAAGATATAGTCATTGAGTGCGTAAGTCTTTTGTCCATGTGTTATGATATTTCCTGTTGGTCCAGTGGTGAGGATTTTTGTTTTCTTGATGTTGTGAAGCAATCCATGTATTGCCCTAACATAGTCTTTTTTTAATGTCAACTTTTAGAAGAACTAGATGGTGCCTGAGTACCTACTACTGTCTTTTCTGAAAAGAATCTCAATAGAGGGTCTATAGAGTAATGTATATATAGAACAAAATTCAAAATCATCAAAAAGGCCAGGTTTACTGCTATGACAGGGACTGGTAGATCCGCTAACTCTAAAATTAAACTAAACCTGTGGCACCACTTCACCTAAACAATGGATCTATAAGGTGTTGTATAAGGGATGTTGATAACATGAGGAAGGCTGAGTCTGACTTGTATCCACTTTATAAAAGGGAACTGTCGGTGAGCTCTGGTGGCCTAGTGGCAAGAAGCTGCACTGCAATCCTAGAAGTACGTGGTTCGAATCCACCAGATGCTCTGCTGGAGAAGGACGAACAATCTCCTCCTGTACTAGTCAGATCTGATTTGACAGTACACACACATAAAATAATAAAAATAAAATTTGGGGGGGGAAAAAAAGGAACTGTCTCTGGTGGCCTAGTGGCAAGAAGCTGCACTGCAATCCCAGAAGTACGTGGTTTGAATACAACAGATGCTGTGCTGGAGAAGGAGGGGCAATCTCCTCCTGTACTAGTCAGATCTGTTTTGATGGCACACACACACATGCACAGATAATCAAAAAAAGGGAAATGTCCCCATCAGTAATGTCCATTTTACCATATAAATAGCTAAATAGTCAGTCATGCCCCACTACATGCTCCTGCACCTGTTCTTACCAATTATTTTGTCTGATGTTTGTTTCAAGACTCACAGACTTTACTCAGAGTTTTGAGGTTTATTGGGGAAATAGGTTGGAGAGTGGGAGAGGCAAAGAATATCACAGAATGCAAATCCAGGCTTAGTCCAACAGTCTCAAGCCATATTAACAAGGCATAATTCCTTCATTAGTGAAAGTCCAAAAACAACAAATGCAAGAAGCCTCTGATTTCCTGAGTCATCCAGCAAACTTTATCTCAAAAGAGCTACAAATCAGCTTTTCCTTCCATCATCCCGCAACAAAATATTTAACTCTGGCTTCATATTTAGGGTTCCTTTCACAGTCTTTACTGTGTCTCTTAAACACCATCATTGCTGTTTCCAGTGTGGAAAACACTCACTTAATATTTGCCGTACAATTACATGATTTTAAGATCATATGTCTGCAATTAAGGTAGCTGGAGATCATGCCTCCTATGAGGGCTGACACAATGGCCAGAAAAGATAGTTTTCAATGTATAGTAACCTCTATACATTGTTGTACTAGGTGTATAGTAACATCTGAGAAGTATGCAGTCTTTAGAGCAATCAGCTATATAAGGTCAGAGAGCAGCGTTTGTCCATTTGTAGAGCTCAGAAGGCAGAAAGAAGAAGCTAGGATGATGATAAATTGTTAACCAGAACCACAGAAAAATGATGGGGAAAGTGTTGTTTAATGAGGGAAGTGTTACCAAAATCTGTATGAATGGTTAAGCAGAAAACCAGTCTGTTCTGTTCTGGTTCTTTAGGAATTGGACAGCCTCTTAGAAATAAACCGCATGACCCACAAGCTGCTGAGCAAGTACCTGACACTAGACAGTTTTGATGCCATGTTTCGCGAAGCCAACCACAATGTGTCAGCCCCCTATGGAAGAATCACTCTCCATGTTTTCTGGGAGCTCAACTATGACTTCCTACCCAATTACTGCTATAATGGCTCCACCAACCGGTGAGTATTTTTTGTTTTCCTCCTCATCTCTGTTTTCTCAAGGAAGGTTCTGGGTGTTCCTGTCAAGAAGTATATATAAGAAGATCTTGGGGAGCCAGTATTGTCTATGTGCTTCCCTTTTCCTCCCTAGACCACAATATCCCTTTCTGCTTTTGTTTCCTACGTATGTGTATGTTTTCTAAGGCTATAAATTTCATGGGAGGAGATTGCCCATCTTTCTCCTGTAGAACCAGTGGTAGATTCTAATCCTCAGAGTATTGTGGTCTTTGAATTAACAGCTCTCCTCTGTCAGGTCAGCAGTGAGTCAGTTCTGACTTGATGGCAATGAGTCTTAAGATTTTCTGAGGCCTGCTACAAACACTGCCAGCTGAGGATGGACATGTAGGCACCAAGGAGATCCAATTCTTGTCTTGTTTGAAGAAACAAATGTGACTTTATGTGTCCAATGCCAGTGTTTTTGTGTGTTTCATATTTATGCGTGTTATTCTTGTTTCTATTTATGATTTGCTTAATTGTGACTGTATGAGTGTATGAGTACATATGGAAGTGAGCATATGTGTGTCTTTGTATGCTTGAGTGGTTTGTTTGAGTACTTGAATCTGTGAATGAGTTGTTCGTTGTTGAGTCAGTACGTGAATTTGTGGTATGAATACGTCAGTGACGTAAGCATATGAACACAATTGTCTGTGCAAGTGTGTATAATTACTGTTACTGGTTATATGCTTAAGAATCCAAGTGCCCATCAACAGACAAATGGATAGAGAAGCTGTGGTATAGTCACATAATGGAATACTATGCTGCATTGAAAAACAAGGAACTCATGCAATATTATTCAAAATGGTGACCCTGGAGGACATTATGCTGAGTGAAATATCTCAGTC